GGCACACTCCTTCACTGGCGCCAGCTACTGGAAAGCTGGCGTGCCAGGGAAACTAGTGGCGTCAGCTCCCCCATTGGCGTCACTGGCATCAATGGCAGACCTATGGTGCCGTTTAGGCCAGTGGCGCTAGCTACTGTAGCTGGCGTGCCAGTGATGGTAGTGGAGGAGCTGGCACCACTAGCTTCAATGGCACCACAGGTCTGCCAATGAAGCCAGTAACGCCAGTTCCTCCACTGGCATCACTGGCACGCCAGCAACAGTAGATGGCGCCACTGGCATTCACAAGCAAAAGACAAACTTAATTTTCAAAATTTTCTGCTTCGATAATATGTAAAAGTCCTTTGGCTTCAGGAAACAAATCCACCCTTTTAAAAAACTACTGTTTAAAAATTTTTAAATGTGAAATGTTGAAAAAGAATCATTTCTTCAAATAAAAAATATTCGTAGCCCAAAAATGTTAGCAGCAGACCATCAAAAAAGATATTGAAAAATGACTAATTCATTTTACCAAGATTTGACAGGATTTTACTGGCATGCCAGTAATGCCAGTGTAGGAGCTGGTGTGCCAGTGAGACAGTGGCGCCAACTACTGGAATGATGTAGAGAGATCCAGTAGCTTGCGCCAGTGGAGAAGCTGGCGCCACTGGCATCACTGGCACGCCAGATATCCAGTAGCTGGTGCCAGTGGAGGAGCTGGCGCCACTGACATCACTGGCACGCCAGCTCTCGACGATAAACAGAAAATAATATGTTTTTTTTTATCGAGATCTACCACCCCTTAAAATACTACTACCCCCTAAAAAACTTATTTCTGGGACACCCTGTATAAATAAAGTAATAGGCGTCAGAGGCAGAGGTCAGAGTTGTCTTTGAAATGAAGATCGCAGTAATGTTGTATATAAAAATTACATGGTGATGTCATTGATCATCATTCTATCCGAATTTGTTTTTTTATATTACAGTATTACAGTAAATACATAATGAAATTTGACTTGATAAAACTGAAATTTTGAATTAAAATAAAATTTTAGGCAAAAAGATAAAGTATATTCTTTGTGTTCATGGCTACAACCAACGCCGCACTCTCTGCTCGATTGAAAGAAAAAAAAAAATGGCCCTTTTTAAGAAATCAAGGGCAACTATGGTTTCTATTTAAAAAAAAACATATATTTGTGTATCTATGTATCTCCAGTAGTTTCCGAGATACCCATAGAGAACAATGTAGGAAACTCACCCTGTATATCAAGAAACTATGATTACGTTCGTTGAATTTGAAATTTCATGTCGGTTTAAGTGCTTTACTTTTATGCCTAGGAGATAGAGTGACTTTTTTATATTGTCAATCAGGTCGCAAAAATTAATATTTTTATGACGTTTGAAAAAAATACTTTCTTGGGTTGACACCTATTGTCTTTTTTTTTACTCAACGTTTCGGTCTGCTAAAACTACTTGTAAATTATGACGAAGAAGTGATCATTGAAATAGTAGAAATTTCTGAAGATTAACAGTGCAACATTTATTAATTACTCCGCATTATAAAAATTAAGAGTTAAATTATTTAATATTTCTGATCAATTATCAATTAACTGATTAGAAATATAAAATCATATTAGATATATCACCTTGAAATAAATATTTGTTAATTATAATTATTTTGATTCGTTCCATTCATGCTAATACAGCTCAGTGAACGAAATAAACTAAACGATCTAATCTTTCTTTTGCACTATTCTACTGATCGAGATCGAAAATATGAAAATCGGTCAGTGAACGAAATAAAATAAACGATGTAATATTTATTTTTTACTTTTCTACTTATCGAGATCGAAAAGAGGGAAATCGGTCAGTGACCGAAATGAACTAAACGATCTGAAATTTCTTTTTTACTATTCTACTGATCGAGATCGAAAAGATGTAAATCGGTCAGTGAACGAAATTAACCAATCGAAGTAGCTTGCGCCACTGTCCTCCAGTAGTGGCACGCCAGCTACTGTAGCTGGCGTGCCAGTGATGCGCCTCTGGAGAAGGTTTTGTGCCGGTGAGGCCAGTGGCGCTAGCTCTTCCACTGGCGCCAGCTCCTCCACGCTGGCGCCTGCTACTGTTGCTGGCGTGCCAGTGGTGCCAGTAGAGGAGCTGGCACCACTGGCATCACCGGCATCACCGGCATCACTGGCAGACCTGTGGTGATAAGATGGATAATATATTTAGATTTATTTATAGTTATTTATAGATAATTTTAGCTAGTGCCACTGGCATCAATGGCACCACATGTCTGCCAGTAATGCCAGTAACGCCAGCTCCTCCACTAGCATCATAGGCACGCCAGCTACAGTAGCTGGCGCCAATGGCCTCACTGGCACACCAGCTAGTGTGCGCACTGGCATTACTGGCACCCCAGTAAAATCCAGTTGATGAGGGCCGTCCACAATAAATCTTTTAAACATTTTATTTTTATTTTTTTTTATGAAAATACATACAACTCTAAATTTTTACCCTTCTACCATCAAACCCTATTTTTTAATATCAATATTAGTAATTCAATAATTTTAATTTAACAACAAATTGATTTAAAAAAAAATTTAATACCTTAAACTAAAACCGTGAGAATACTTGGGTATACACTGATTATAATGGTATTTACCCAAATTCAATATAACACTTATTGACCCTTTGTCTATATACCGGTTGTAAAACTTGGGTGTTTACCAAAATTTCAATTTACCGGGCACTTTCCCATCACTGACCTTAGCCACAGCAATGCGTGTCCGGGTTTGCTAATATTTTATAAAATTTAAGGGACACATCAGTAGTCATAATGTAGTCTTTGTACATTATTCAAGTATAATAAGGATTTATCTGGATCCCAGCCAATTTGTGTTAATTGTATTTTTTTTAAATAGCCTGATACTTGTACCTTCTTCAGGAACTGACGTACCAACACAATATCAGTGCGACATTGTTTCGATTAAATGTCAACAAAAGTTAACTTTCCGGAAGAAATTAAAGCCTTAAGCAAACATCACTAACAAAAGCTTGGAGGTCAGTGCAAATGTAAATCACTTTTATGACTGGGAGCGTTATGTTGAAAGCACACGCTCCTTTTCTATTGTCAATCGTCCGACAGAAACCGGCCTCAGCTGACACAAAAGCGACCCTAAAACGAGATTTGCGGCGTCGGAGGGCCATTTTACGTTACTTGCTTGGTTTGGCCGGGCCCGAATTATTCCGAACGGTTTGAACGTGGGAAAAGGTAAACGGGGTTCTTAAGATATTTTCTGATAAGGGTCGGGTTTAGATTTATTATGCGTGTGTGTAAGCAAGCGTATGGATTTCCATATACATAACTCTTTCATGCATTATGGTTTTGGTATTTAGTACTGTGAAGGATCCTGTGGCACTAACGCACGTAATAAAGTAAAACTAAAAAATGTCTACATATCTGTCTGTGGATTTATCTTTCCAAAAAGGTCCTATAGATATTTCGCCACTATAAGAAAATCTACAAAATAAAATAGTTATTTTTTTAAGCACTAACTAACTTTTTTGTAAGCGATAGCCTATAAAAGAAAAATAAAAGAGGCTTTTTAATACAATCTAATAAAAATAAATGTATTGCTCATGCATCTGTACATGTTAGTAATGTATGGCAATCGCTTCTTTGATTTTAAAGAACATAACATACGTAAATACGTTATTAAGTAACTGTTATCAGGTAGTAATTGTTAATTTTAAAGTTTAACTTGATATAATGTCATTTTAATAGTATGTCAACGGTTTTTGTAGACGTATCTGTTAAAAAAAAACTAAAGTGTTCTCGACTAGTTGCATTTAGATAGTTTAAATAGTTTGTTTCTTTGTTTTGTGTGTTTTTTTGCTTCCAACGACAGAAAAAGACATACTTTCCGAAACGTTAAGCACTGTTTTGTCCGTTAGGCAAATTTGTTTATTAGTAAACCACTGCTGACACTTATTCTCCGTTGGATTAACGCAGCAGTGTTTACAAAAAATAAATATTTTATTTTGTAAATTTTCTTACAGTTGCGAATACCCATAGGACTTTTTTGGAGAAACTGAAACCAAATATTGCAAATTAAAATTTTATACTTATAATTAGTTTGGTCACGATATACTTTTCGTAACATTTAAACAGTACAAAATAGCTTTTATTTAGGTTTGTGTCAAGTCTGCCACCTTCATAAAAATAATCATACATTTTAATTCCAATTTACAAGCCTCTCTATGCAAAAGAATTTGTTATTATACATAAATGGTTAAAAAGAATCCAATGATATTATATGATTATGAAAAGGAATTAATAAGATTTTATACACAAATTCAGTTTTTCATGTATAATTAAATTCTAATTTTCTTTTAAAGTATAAGGATAATGGAACAATTAAAATTTTTATGAAATATTGCGAACACATGAAATGTTCTTTTCATAATCTATCCGGTCATGAGACACTTCTTGTTGCATTGTAATAAAATACAGGGTGATCCGAACTGTATCCCAGAAAAAGTTTGTATTAATATATGTCCTAAAATGCTTACTTTTTGAGATATAGAGTGTAAAAGTTTCATTTTTATTTCGATTTTTCCAAATAATTTCTGAAGTTTATATTTGGATAAAAATTGGTGTCTGGGAGTTATGACTCCTATTTGTAGGGGGCGCACCTACATGTTTTGAAGAGTAATAACTTTTCGTGCGTACCCGTATAAAACTACTGAGTAAAAAAATATATAGTTTCGGGATTTTCTACGTAAAAAATGTCTCTTGGTAGAAATCGCTACGAGCAATCGTTCTCAAGACATTTAGAATAGAAATAGTCAATACATGTCATTATTGACAAAAAATAAACATGTTGAGTAGTAGATAATTATTTGACTGAAATGATAAATTTGGGAACTTTTTGTTTTTGTAAATTAAGTAATATTTACAAAAATAAAACCGTTAATCAAAAAGAACTTTTATATAATTTAAAAATAAAATAATTGTATACCTAAAACAATCAGCCATCTCCACAGATCCCATCTTATGACGTCTTCTGTGAAAGCGGAAACTTTTGTTTGGCTGGCGTTCAAGTCGTCGGCTAATGTTTTGGCTAATGTGTCCAAATTTTGTGTAGATTTGTACACGTCAGCTCGTTTTTTGTTCAGTAGTGCCTTAATGTCTGAAAAGAACATTGGTATATGGAGGGTGTAATTAAATGAGCACAAAAAATATTTTTTTAACTAAAAAATAAGTTTTTTTAAATAAATAGGATATTCCGAATTGGCGTCGTCCTAAAATGTTATTTGCTTGTACAAGGTGTCCCATTTTGGTTGATATGATACGGTATCTCCGTTATTAGTAAATATTGGAGGATACGCCTTGCACAAACCTGTCCCATTTTTTTGTCAAACTGAAGATGCTGTAAACAACATTTTAATAACCCTCTTCGTTTCTGAGCTACCGGCGCTTTTTGAAAATTTTGCAATTTGGGACATCTCCCATATCTCTGTTATCATCCCCCATATCTCTGTACCGAGAAGTTAAAAACTGACTCTTGTAGAACGAATCTACACAAACAATATTTTTGAAAGGTAAAGTAAGGTAAGCGTTTTTTGTGGCCGTTGTAGTATAAAACATTTTAAATCACCCCATTCGTCACAATCAGGAGAAGGGGATATTTCTTTTCCAGAAATATAACACACTTGATATTTTGTTATAATCCCCTTCGAAATACAGAATTCTTAAAAGTTCGCCACTTTTAACTAGTAGGCTTTGATGATATGCCCTTAATGGAACCCGAAAACATATTTTTCCAGCCAAACCAAACCAAGACGACGCACCGCCTCTGAACGCTGAAGTTATCAGCAAATTTTTGCATCCAATTTCAAGAATAATTGACTAGCTAACCAAGATTTCAGCCGTTGGCTTTCGAGGCCGCCTGATTTAGTGCCCACGGATCTAATTCTATGGATATATTTGCGGAAAAATAAAGGTTCCTTATTGTTTCGTATAATCTAGACAAGAATTAGAAATACTTAGCAGTTATGAGAGGGTATCTTTCACCCCCACTGAGTTAATGAATTCCTAGAGAAATGTTCAAAAACTGCCCCGTCTGTCCATAACAGAAGACGGTCGATATGTCGAACACCTGTAGCAAAATCTCATGTCTTGGTTTGCTATTTATTTTTAATGTTATTAGATATAGTTTAAGTGTATGTTGCTGTTGGTTAAATATATTTTAAATTGTTATAAAATTCTGTATCTCTCACAGCAAATATTATTTTCGTTTTAATTGATGCTCACAACTAGATTTTTTTGCATTACAGCCTACTCATTTAAAGCGGGCGAATTTTTATATACTTTATATCGCGAAGAGGAATCGAGCAAAATATCAAGTGTGTTATATTTTTGAAAAGGTAATTTTAAATTCTTTTCAATAAATTAAAAATATACAGGTTGTCCCATATAAAAAATCAAATTTTCTGTTGACAATTCTTAAATTATTAATTTAAAAAAAATTATACTTAAACCATTAAATTTTACGTAAAAAGGTGCTTTGGAAATGTTTTCATAAAAATACAAAATTTTCCATAGCAAAAAAGTTACAGCGATTTGTTAAAAATGCACATTTTTGAAAATCACCCCGTAACTCCGAAACGGTAACAGATTAGAATTTTTAGAATTTAGAATGAGTGGGAGGGGGGTTAATCACTTCGACCTTACAGATCCATTGTGTCCCCCTTTCTTGAATCATAACTCATCATACAGTCCCAGGGCTTTGACAAAAGCCAGTATCTGGGACGGTTTTATAGAGGGTAGTTCTCCATCTCCAATATCAGTCGTACCAAAATTCATGGCACGATGGTTGTCGTCTCGGCGCACTCAGTGATGAGGTGTACTGGTGTTTCCCCATCTTCCCCACAGAATCTGCATTCGCCGTTTCCTCTTAGTTTCAATCTACTGAGGTGTCCATTGAGGAGACAGTGTCCTGTTAAAAACCCCGTGACAATCCGAAGATTGTTCTTACTCAGACCCAGGAAGGTCTGTGATTTTTCTTGATCATAAGCCCTCAGAAACTTCTTCGAGTGTCTTAGACCATTACAAGATTTCCATTCCAGGTTGCGGATGGAATCTTCCAAGTTCTTGAGTTCCGCCTTGAGTTGGTTCCCACTTGGAAAGCAGAACGGTTCTGGTCCAGTTAGTGGAGTGTTCGCTCCTTTCCTAGCTAGATTATTTGCTTTTTCATTGCCTTCTATCCCTTGGTGAGCAGGCACCCAGTGCAGGAGGACTTTGTTTTCTTTGGCTAATTTATTCAGCTTCTCTATGCATTCTTTGACCAATTTCGAATTGATTGATACTGAGTTGATCGCCTTTAATGCTGCTTGACTATCAGATAAGATGGCTATTTCTTGTTTCCGATAGTTCCTATCTAAGATAAGTTGTACGCATCTCTCGATAGCGTAGATTTCTGCCTGAACGGTAACAGATATTGATGTGCGGTTTTCACCATCATGTTTTTGATGAAAATTGAGCTCCAGACACCGATATTAGTTTTCGTCTATCTCCTATAGAAAAGAATGTTTCCATTTAAAAGCGTCGAATTTCACCCATCCTGTACATAATTTTTCGACCTCAATTCATATAGCTATATGAAATACGATTGACAAAAATGGTCGAATATCGAATTGTATTTTATTATACCTGCTACATACGGCGACATTTCAATGGCGACCTGATCCGGAATGGCCAGGAATGCCCTACGGCTCTCCTCGATGCTGGAGTTCAAATTCCTCTCCTTATTCATACGGACCAATTGTTGGATTTTGGTATCCAGGGTCAACTGAAAAATATTAAATTCAGAAAAGAAATGAAACTTTTCAGAAATTTTCTAGTTTAATTTGGGTTTTCAAATATTAGAGGAAAACCGGCTAGACCGTATCTTTTCACTTAATTTTCTTTCCTAACGTTAATTTAATAAAAATTAAAGGTTTTACAGTAAAATATTCAACAGTATTAAAGAGATACACGTTTGAAACATACTTTAATGTTTACAGAATTAGAACTCGATAGTAAACCCCCTAAATACCCCTAAATAATTAAAACTTATTACATGCTTTTTAGTGCGCTTATTTACTACTAGCTTACGTCGCACAGTGGGGTATTTGACACAGATAGTTGATCGAATTTTTTTTATGTAGACCTTATATAAATTATTGCTATTTTCAATTAAAGAGGAAATAATATAAACAAAATAAAGGATAATTCGCCGATTATAAAAAAAAAGAGAGAAAAATCACTGTTCTAGTGTTTTCACGGTCAATGCCACTAATGCCAGTAGTAATATCGCAACTAATACTACTAATACTACGACTGATCCGCGAGTAATGCCCATACCACTAAAGTCGCTACTAATGCCAAATTGTGCTATACTGCTAATGGCACTAATGCGATTGCTTTGTACACAACAATGCCATCGCGGTTTACACCTCGCATTAGTATATCACTGATTGGTAAATTAGAGGAAACCAAGAATATTTTTCTCATTTTATCAGCAAAGTCGCAAAAAGTCGCAGTATTTTATTATATTAATGATTGGCAAATTAGAGGAAACCAAGAATGTTTTTCTCATTTTATCAGCAAAGTCGCAAAAAGTCGCGGTATTTTATTTTACTGTATGAAAGCCCAATGTTTACTAAGTAAAACGTATATAGACAATATACTGAATTCTTCGAAATGCGCAACTAAATCTCTAAGTATAATAAAAATGTCACAAATTTAATCAAATTTTCTGAACGCCTAACTTTAAGTTGCAAAAAAAAATCGTTAGTATAGAGAATATCAAAATAAATAATACGTTTTTGTAGAATACATACCTGCAGCTTGCTGAGCCATTTTCAATCAAAACAATAATATAAACGTAAAAAGAGCACAAGAACAAGAACAATTCATAATTTTAAATATAAAATATAGCCATTTACCTCTTATCTGTGAGAAGTAACAACTTTGACGTTTCGTTGAAACAAATGAATGCAACTAAACATACCCATAGCAACGCCATTCATGGCAGACATGATTTAACTTATCATTTATCTTTTTGTGGGAAATCTTAAACACATTTGTTTTTTCGAATTTCGATCACCTTTTTCATGCTAATACCCCACCGTGCGTCGTGTTGTATCTTTGGATACTACCATAGACGAAATTTTCATATTAAGACTTTGTGTAAACCTCGTTTACACTTTCAATTATTTGGTTTATTATTGTATTAAAGAGATGGGCTAAGGCTGTCTTATACTAGGTAAGACTTTGAGATCTCTAACGTACCTAAGGTCTCTAACATAACTAATCATCTAGAAAAATAATTTTATTATAGCATGTATGTATGTATGTTACGGTTAAGGTCCGAAGTCCGGTTAATGTCGACATTACCCGGTTAATCTCGAGAATAACATAGAACAAAACAACCAAAAACATAACCCAACCCAAACATTAACCTGTTAATGTCGACATTAACCGGACATCGGACTTTAACCGTAACATATATACGAAAATGACAAAAGCACAACGCTACAAGAATAATCTTAAATGCTTTTTTAATAATACTAGATTGAGATTATCCAACATAATGTTGATTTATTTATCCAATAACCAGATAGCACCAAATATCTCCTATATATTTAAATCATTCCTGTATATTTCTGGAACAAATATCAACATTCATCAAAATCATCTAGCATTAATGGACACTAAACAACCGAAATTTCATTTCTACCCTCGCCGTTCTTGGCGTTTCTCCGCAGAGCCAAAAAGCCAAATCCCTTAAGCCCACCCGAATCCAGATCCTTATTGTCCTTTCCTTATATTGGTTTTCGTTGTATGGGATGTGGCACGAAGAGAGAATTAATTATTTATAAGAATAGAGGAAAACTATTCTTTTGAAATAGTGCGAAAAATTGAATTTGAAGGATTGTAATTGTAGGAGTTGGCCTACATGGCTTCTTAATTTGTCAGCGTCAAAGCGATAGAGTAGGCGATAGGCGTAGGCTAACGCATTCAAACTAATTACAAGTCTAGATAAGACCAATTCGTTGGAGTTAATTATTACCTGTTACCTGAACTGTTTCTGCCATTTAATTTGCACACAAAGGGTAACTTAGATTGTACGCTGGCTCAATAATTTTGCCTTAATAGGTATATCTTATCATTTATTTTTAAATACGTATATACAGTGTCGTTCATAAAGATATGTCATATGGAATTTTTATTAATTGATTAAGGTCAAGTTTGACTTTTGTGTTAGTGAATACTTTGAAATAGATTAACTTCTTTAGAATTTAATTTTTAACTCCATGGATTAACATGACTTTTAGTCGTGTTTAATCGATTTATTTTTTATGTTTAATCCATATTGTTTATTTATAGCTTATATAAACATTTTTGAAAGACGCACAAATTACTTTTATCGTCGATATATTGTTGCAATATATAGGGTGTCCCAGGCTAAGCGTCCATTAGAAGTTTCTAGAGAACTACAATCTATCTAGATCGGAGATTTTTTACACATTACTATTTCACAACGAGATCTATCGATTAAAAATATTTTCAATATGGTGGCACTTAAGAAAAATACCGGAAGTTGACAACAACTTTCTTACTTTAAATGGGTAGCCCCATTTTTTATTACACATTTAAACTCTCTGTAAAATTTTATGAATTTTGATATCAAACACTATCTATATCTAATATTAACCGTTTTTGAGAAAAAAAATATTTAAGATTTTTCGAGAAAAAACCAGGGTTGGCATGATTTAAATCAAATGATTTAAATCAAGTGATTTTTTTAATTTTAATCATGTGATTTAAATCAAAAAAATAATTTTATTGAAACTTTATAATAAATCAAAAAAATAACTGTAAAAGTTATAAAAGCGTGTCCTAGAAAACTATAAAAAATATTTCTATAACAGATATAACAGTTAATAAATCGAAAAATAATCGTAAATATTTTAAAACTATATAACAATATCTATTCATTAATTTAAATATTGGGCAGATTTATTTTAAAATTTTTGTATAAGTGACAAAAATTCGCTGTTCAAATACCTATCATTCGCAAAGTCTAGTGCAGAACTAGGTTCTTCTAGGTGTCCCAGAAATAAGTGCAAATATTTTAACTGGTAGTATAGTCCAACCTCAGAAACACGCCTATGTGGTTTTTTTTTGCAAAAAAAATGTTGAAAATTTAAAATTTTTCTTGACATTTTCCGGGAAATTTGAAAAAACCTCGGAAAAAACTTTTTAGTGCCACTTGTTTATTGACCTGAGATTTCCCTACGGTGTATCTAAACCTTGCAGTGTTGCAACCTCCTATGTTATCGACATTCTACATAGTTCGGCGGAAGATAGTTCTACATTTATAAATTCATAGACAAATTTCTACTCAAAAAATTAGGAATGGTAAATTTAATCTTTTATCAGTGCTCATTATTAATAATTATAGAAAAAAAAACACATTAATTATTTTTAGTACTTACCCTTTCAATGAAAATTTAACAAAAACCACCGAAAATTAACTAAAACATTACGTTTATGACGTTTACGAAAATCTTTGTTATGCTGCAAAATAACTTTATTTTGGAATAAATTTAATAAAATGATTCATATTATTCACAATCAGGTCACAAAAAGAAATTCCTAAAATGTTTATGGTAATTTAGAATTCAATTCAAGAAATTTAGAAAACAGCCCAACGAATAATCGATTCATTTTTGTTTTGTTTGTTTTCTTTCATGTTTCTCTGTTTTATTTGAACCACTGTTTTACAAAACACCTTCAAAAGCGCACATTACTTTGAATACCTTTCTGAATGAATAAATGTTGAGAATTATTGTCTCTTATCGCCACTTTACGAACTACTTTTAATCTAAGAAAATACATGTTTTACTCAACAATTTTAAATAGGTATTTTGTTTTTTCGCTATTTTTTCGATGTATTTCGACAATTCCATTGACAGCCTAACCGTCAGCCAAGAGCGCCGCGTGTGAACTGGTCCGCGCCGTAAAATGAATTGATTATTCGTCGGGCTGTTTTCGATGTATTGAATTCTGAATTACGATAAACATTTTAGAAATTTCTTTTTTGTGACCTTATCAATAACCAATTCATTTGTTTTTTGTTTGTTTCCTTTCATGTTTTTCTGTTTTATTTTTAAAATTTAATAAGAATTTGATTTCTTCGAGTGTCTTGAATTTGAAATTGTTGAAACTACGGCAACCTCGCATGACGCAAGCTCGACACGGCGGCGCGACAAAGGAGCAGTTACCAATGATGCGCGGGTCTCTTGGCCGACGCGACGGTTGGGCTTTTGATGGAATTGTCGAAATACATAGAAAAAATAGCGAAAAAACAAAATACGTATTTAAAATTGTTGAGTGAAACATGTATTTTCTTAGATTGAAAGTAGTTCGGAAAGTGGCGGTAAGAGACAATAATTCTCAACATTTATTCATTCACAAAGGTATTCAAAGTAATGTGTACTTTTCAAGGTGTTTTGTAAATCAGTGGTTCAAATTGTGATGAGGTCTATATGAAAATAATGTGTTAAAAATGGGGACTGTTATTTTAGTAGTTATTATAATAGTATGTACAAGTAAAGCAGCACAGTGAAGTGTATTTTAGTTAAGTGTATATCGAAAAAGAGAACTGTCACAGTTACATCGATCTGTCATAAGTATCTTTTTTAATGTTGGGTTTAATTTAACTTTTTAAGACATTATTAAACATTTAACTTTTAATTTATTTTATGTAATAATATCACAATCTTAAAAATGTAATGCATC